GGCGGCAGCGGTGCGGGGCTAGCCCAGATTTATATGTTCCCCCAAGGAGCTGAGTGATGATGTCGGCTTTGATGGGGTGACAAGTCAGAGTAAAATTGTATCAGTGCCAGTCACGGCCCGGAATACGAGAAGTAAGGAAAGTTTTTGATCAATGTGGCCTCAAACTGTGGACACACTGGGTCTAGGACTTCAGGACCTTCCTGGGTGGTTGACGGGTTAGCTTACTTGCCTATGAACCCCCAGTGCGCGGGTTCGATCCCGACCGAGGTGCGCGGAAGGCGGTTCGGAAGACGAAAAATCCACTCAATCCATGTCGCTCTTGTGGTATGTAAAATAACCCCGGCTGTAGGCTTGGCAAAATTAAAACCCCCCGACAGCATCCCGCCCTAACGAGATCTTACTTTCTCCCAACCTGCCAGTTCGGATACTAAGACTGAGGCCGAAGGTGGAGAAAGTGAGAGTCAAATCCCAGGCGTTTCGGGGATCGCCCACGGGGTGCACCTGCTCAGATTAAGGTCTCCTGACCGCGCCGGGGGTAGGCTTCCAAGGAAGCATGGGTTGAAATTCGGGTGCGGAACAATTACCCAGTATCGCCGCATATAAACCATTAATATAGATAATAAATAATAGGAGTTAGGCTTCGTTATCCTTCATGTACAGGTTTCTAGAGACTGCATAAAGCACAGTAAAATCATACAAATTACACAGAAGTAAAAATAAAATAATACAATTGGAATAAAACCAAATACAATAATTTAGGTGAAGATAATTGAATCTATTGAAGCGATGAAGGCTAGTGAAACGCACAAAAAGTCTCCGTCACCATATCTCGGTCGAGTGCTCTCGGAATAGCCAGGTGGTCTTAACAATGTTAAGAATGATCCATTCCATAATAACGCATGTTTATCTCATGTTTGGAAAACCGCCTCCTAATATGCCCACTTGAAAGTTCCTTAACATAACAGTACATAACATATTAACTGCCCTCTAAACAAAAGCATATGCAAAATATAAAGTAGAACTTAGACATGATAGCATTCTTAATTCTCAAGATCAAAAGAAAATTTAGTTAAAAAATCAATATTTACAACATTATTGAGTGAAACTACTTACCATATTCATGTTGTTTTGTTTTCATACTGACTTTGATTATAAATATGTTTCTTAATTTATATGTATGAAATTGTTTAGTCATTAATATAAATATATTTACTATAAATATATTTAAAAATCTTTTAGAGAAGCCAGCAACAATTATTACCTACTTATTCAGTAAAAGGAACCTCAATGTTGTATATCTTTAGCAGTGTAAGACTCACAATATCAAGTCACAATTTGCGAATTCTTTACATTAGCAAAGTCCAAACCTCTCATAACTCACATGTTTGCATTCCCTAACGATTTCTTGCATTTAGTTTTCTTGAGAATTTGGTTCGTTCCAATATTATGTTTTTGCTGTATCAAAAGTGATCGAATGATGGATCGAAGAACAATAAACAATATTTTATATTGCTACATTATCTCACAAACTTTTTTCAAAATTATTGCGGTGTACCATAACTATTATGCTATGAAGAACATAACCTGACTAAATTTGTCTGTAATTAGACATGTTAGAATCGAAATCCCGGGGGCATATATTATGAAAACAATTTCTTACGTCATACTCGAATTTATTTCGAGATTTTCAATACTTTATGCACCCGAAGTATGCACTTGGATAAGAAAGTAAAAAATCTGTCCCCATTGGCTGTTACTTTAAAAAAATATTAGGCTTTACTAAGTTTTCGAGTCCATATTCGCACACTAATCGTGCACTGTTACCTGATATTACCCATTCCTTTGTGTGACCAAGAATGATTCACATAAAACCATACACACTTTCATATCCAAAACGCAAATAACTCTTTCTTACATATTATTTTTTATTATTTAAGGTCGAATTAACATCTAGGTCATTAGCAATCAATTACAGCTTCTTTATTTGCCTCCCTATTTAATAGAATTGCAGATTTCGGTTTTGTACTTTTTCAGTATCTCAGGCTGTACGATTGTTTTAGGTTCAAGAACCCCAAATCGAAAATCATTTACTATTTTATTATTTATGATTTGCTTGCGAACACTTCAAATATGTACGCTGTAATTTCCATGACACAAGGAACTCAGACGCGATTCGACAACGCGATTTATCGCTAACAAAAGCCCGCGTCTAGTTGCAAACAAGCGACGAACATCACCTTCCGCGGACACCCGGCAGGCCGTGACGTCAGCGGCAGAAGGGAAGCGACGAGGGAATCATCTTCACAAAGTTTGTTTACTTTCCGGGCGCCCGCGCCAAAAAGTGAGCGAGGAGGGTGTTTTGAGCGCAAGAGGGCTCCAGGAAATGCACTTTTCCCCTTCATTAAGAAATCTCGGGCCGGCACGGCGGCGGGGCGGCGCGAGGCGGTGGTAATAGGGAGAAGAAGGTGGTGGCTGTGAAGGTGGAGGAGGCAGTGGCGGCGTCAAAGGCGTGGGCGAGATGGCAATTGGCGTAGAGAGGGGGCGGGGCCGGCGGTGGCGTTGGTGGGGTCGGGAGCTTGGGCTGTGGGTGGCGGTGGC